ACTTTGACAAAAAAACAACATCGGTCAACACATTCTCGTAGAACATTTTGAAGTTTGAAGCTGAGACTGCTTGCCGAGGTGGCTGGGGCGCGTTGCGAAAAAGACTCTGTGTCTAGCACAAGGATCGTGACGAGAGATGCATCTTGGACATGCATGCGGCCAAAGCTTCTTCCAGCCCAACCTTGGAGTATGAAATCATCTCGTTTTGCCATCCTTGATTCTCGTAACTTGACCTTCACATAATCAAGGGCGGCCGCAACGGCAAACTTGGACGAGCACAAACAGAACAGCCTTTCAGATAAGTCCCTGCAGCGACGTGAAATGAGGTGAGAAAGGTTTTTCGTTGATGCAAAGCTTGCTCTGGAAATGACATTATGTACGCTGCGTTTCATAGTTTCCCGCGCGCGGCTGACATGACTTCGCTCCAGCGTCAGCATGGGGAAGCGTGACTCTGGCCCACCGCTCGTAGGATTCGTACCTTTTGAGGGACCTTTGGACCTGCGTTGTGATGCGGAGACGCGTGTCTGTTGTGCTGCATCAAAGATTTTTTTGGGTTGCGTGTCGCATTCTTTCAAAGGTGTTGTAACGTGTTTCAGGCATTTGGCGTGTCTATAGTGATGCAAATGCACAAAGATTCCTTGCGTTAAACGCGTGAGATCATGAGGGGTGGGTTCTGGGGTGACTTGAGCCAACTACGTTTTAAGGTGTTTCTTGCGCATGTTTATTTCATGGGGTGACTTTCACCGGCTGCTGTACTGAGCCTTTTGTTAGGTAATACGTTGTCAAACTGTTTAACGTCATGTGTTTGGAGCACTGATTTACCTTGGCAGCAAGCAGGAGGAAACCACGTACGGTATAGCAGACCTGGTTGCCGAGCTTTCAACCTGGCATAGTTGAAGCTGTTTGTTGGCATTTGTGGGAGACGGCGCTCCAGCACATGGGCAGACTCCCTGTATGGGCAACGCCAGATGTCTTGAATGTCTACGATGCTCCCCTTGCAATGGCTTGGCACAGATAGAAGCGCCACAGCGCCATGCTACCCAGATGTAAGTGCAAGTTGTCAGCCAAAACACAGCTGGGATGTTTGTGCCGAGGCATTGTGTGAAATGCACAGCAACCAAACCAGCAGCAGTATGACATGCTGGGGACCCTTCCCTGCCTACAAAGAAGTCTATTCACTGCTTGCATACGCAGCTGGCCAACCCGCAGCACCCTCACCGCCTCACTGTACGCAGACTGTACACATGCGCAAACTAAACTAGCAGAAATACAGATGTTCTCCATAGCGCGGCCGATGCCTTTCCAGCTATGTTCGAGGAAGCTGCGCCCTCAGGAACCCGTTTGCCGACTGTTTGTGTCTGATGCTCCCATCCTTCAGTTTGCCACACAGCGGCAAGAGCAAGCGACAAGGCTACTTCGCCAGCTTCTCCTTCGCAGGACACGCTGAGTCTGGCCATAGAGTCAGGGCAAGGAGCTGCAATGCTGAGGCAACCTCAGAGAAGTGGCTTGTGGGACATGGTGTTGCTATGTGAGCTTGTCGTGTTGTGCTGTGATGTCAGGAGGCTGCAGCCAGAAAGGAGCTACTGCGACAACGCCTTCGGCAGGCTCCATGCACTGTGTGGATGGACACGACCAGCAGATCGATTCCTCTTTGACTGGTGCAAGCAGACTTCTGCTGGGCCTGCCACGAAAGCTCCACGTACGTACTAACCGGCTTTTTTTGCAGTGACTGTTTGTCCAACGCGAAGGCAGGAAGGAAGCAAGCTGCGGCAGTGTTCCACGATGGAGCACTTCAAGGCTGGCAATGACTGCTCGCACTTCCGGCCCAAACAAGATGAGACAAGGCAAAGAGGTTGTTGCAGAACATGTGCAGGAGGCCTCGCGGCCGTGGTTAGCGCCGCCAAGGACAAGGAGGCTGGAGGGTACACCACCAAGAGCAGGTAAATCTCTGGAGGTCTGACGGGATTTTTTGAGGCGCAGGTGGGGCGAAGTGGGAGCCCAACTATGGGACGAACGCTATCGAAAAAGAGCGCCTTGGCATGCCTTGGCAGTGTTGTTGTCCTTAGTATTGTTCACTTCAAGTTGGCACCTGATGGATCTGAGCTTCAGCGTCTGCAGTTGAAGTATTACGCTCGTATTACGCCTAATGCGTCACAGTTTCCTTAGTTCAGATGAGTGGCGCGGTGCTGCAGAAGACTTGTTGGAGGAGCGTGAGCTTCCTGATGTTTGGTAGCCATTTTTACAAGCGATGCTTCTCCTGTTTCCAACAACGACCTGGTCATATTCTGTTATGCTGTTATGCTCACTTCTTTGTGTGCATATGATTCTATGCAGTCTCTTGATTTTCGGAAGTGCCACAAGTACCCAGCAGATTTCAGCAGACTGCGTTTCTTGTACGTGAAGGCCAGCTTAACAAACTGCTTGAAGGACGTGGAGTTTGCAGCCACGCGGGATTTGTTGCTACTGTGGGAGGCTAACATGCCACATTGACATGGCATCTGGCATTAACGCAAACTTATGGAGCAAGCCCAGCACCGCTTGGCCAATTCTGAGCTACACTCTGCCGCCCCAGGTAATGACAGCGACGTCAGCCACGCCAGCTCCTTGGACCCCTACTGGGAGGACAAGCATGGCCCAGCTATAAAGCCATTCGAGGTAGCGTACAGTAGTAGCAAGCCCTGGATTTTGGGAGAAATGTTTTGGAGGATGCAAGCAATGCTGCGTCTCGCAGGCCAGGCCTGGAAGAAACACTTAGAAGTAAGGTCTTTTGCTTTACTTGCCAGCCGTTGCATGCTCTTTCAAAGGTGGCCATGGTGAGGCTGTAATACTACAAAATACTACAAACTGACATGATGCGACACTGGTGCATGCCATGGTGCTCTTTCGGTCGAGGATGGTTGATCATGGTTGTTCGTAGAATTGCCGGGCAGTCAAGTATCACTTGAAGGGCATCGGCCGCATCTGTGACTTCCGCGGGTGGCAATGCTTTACACCCAGTGGCTTGGCTCTATCACTTGTGAGGTGACAGCGGATGCTGTATCACACGCTGACAAATAAATCCGTCATTGGAGCCAACGACCTTTTGCAGCAGAGTGTGTTTCTTCTGGATGCTAAAAGACGTCTCGTCTGAGGGCGAGCTGCGTGCCTCAGCAGCACTCAGTGCATCTGCTGTAGCTCAGGGTCGCAGCTTACCCAAAGCATGCCCTGAGGCAAATCGCTCCGAAACCTTCCAAGACCGCTGCAGGAGGCGCCATCCAGGCGGCCAGGTGCAGCTCGTAGGAACTTGCGCCGCCAAGGTGGAAGACGCTCCGCAACGCAGTGCCACAAGGCGGCTTGCTGCAAACACTGTGATTTGCAATCTGCGGGCATCAGGGTCACCAGCGCGCCCGTACCGCTCAAGCCCGAGAAGGCCCTGGCCTCCTTGAGCATCTTCAAGAACTGCCAGGAGGCCCTCGGCATCCAGCTCTAAGCAACGCAGCAACTCTTTTTTTTTTTTTTCAATTTTCTGTGGCCGTT